CATACATCCAGGCCATACTTCAGATTGAAGTCGAGGCCTTTGGAATGATAAGGTAATGGAATCTCACCCAGTCAGAAGGTTAAAGAGAGATAATTGAAGCTCATATTAGAAGTTCAGCTGCAGTGGTTTTTAATTCTCTCATTGTAGCTCTGCCCTTCACTGTGTCGATGTATATTAATTCATCATTAGCAAGAGGCTAAATGGCCATCAGTGACACAGGAGCAGGCAAACTAGCTGCAGAATGAGACTGGAGCATTTTTTTAACATGGGATAAAGAGCTTTCACTAGCTTATCATTTCACTATATCCATACACTCACTGGCAAACTTTATCGGTACACCTGTAGTTGTATACAAAGCTTTTAACACCACCAGTGAAATTACCTGTTTTGTTGATTTTCGAAGTGAAAAGAAGTAAACACAAGCTCTGCGGCAAACTGTAATGCATAGTTTAATTTTACCTAGAGATGGATCGATCAGTGTTTTTGGGGCCGATACCGATTGCCGATCGTTTTTTAGCATGATCAGCCAATAGCCATTCTACAAAAAAGACAGCAACACAGGCAGCTCCACTTCTTACTAGAGCTATAGTTGCATAATGAGCGACTCTGCAGGTATGTCCTTAGTGGGGGAATTGGAGGCTCTGCTTCTGCTTGTTCTTCTCATTAAAAAAAATGAGTGAATGACCTCCGGTTAAATACACTCACTGTAACATACTCACCGTCATTCATAGCCTTTCACCTCTCATCTGCCATATATTGTCTTTAACCACTGCATTTTTTTAGTCAGTGTTTGCTTGCCGCATTAGCTTTAGTGCTCTGCTACAAGGGTTCTGCTGCCATCCTAATGCATGTTTGTTTGGGCTGCAACAATGACAACGAAGCCTGATTTTAACGCATCCATACAGCACAGAAAATAGAGCAGGCTTCAATTAAAAATGTATGCAGCATTGCAGTCTGTCAGTTTCAGACTCAGTGTGAAAGACATTAATATATGTGCGTTTTTTTCGTCCATTATAATCAGACTCCGTGTAAATTGGCCTGTAGTCCTGTAGTCAAAGGGCCTGCATTTCTATCTAGCATTTGAACAAGGAACTGCAGGGTCCTGCGACCAAGGAGACTCGCACAGGACTGCAGCTATCCTTAAATATGTCTCATATGTTTTACGTTACTGATCAGCTCTCAGGATCGGCTAAGTTGGAGAAATATCAGCCGATCAGCGATTGCATGTTTGGGCTGAAAATCACAGATACCATTACATAGCCCATAGATCATTCCATCTCTAATTTTAACATATTGGGAAAAATAAAATATAAAGCATAAAATGTTCCATAACAAGTCCACAGTTTATGGTTTTTCCTCAAGTATGTTCAATTCTGCAAATAAACAGCAATTGTATATTAAAATGTGCAGTATTCCCTGTAAAGGATGTGAAACTTATCTTCGTTTAGAAAATTAACAAAAAATGTTATTTAACCAGGGGTGCCCAAACTTGTATCGTGTATCTACAGGCATTGTCCATTTTATCAGCTCCACTTACCATATCGGTGCATTTTGCAGCTCAACAATTAGAGACTGTAGTCCATCTGCTTCTGTGCATAATTTGACAGCCCCCCTTTGCCCCATTCATCATTGGTCAAGACACCCACAGGACCACCACAGAGCAGGTATTTTTGGAGAGTGGATCATTCACAGCACTGCAGTGACACTGACATGTTAGCAGTGTTACTGGAGTTTTCAAGCAACTCTGTGTCACTGCTGGACTGAGAATGAGCCACCAACCAAAAATATCCAGCCAAATATCACAAACTGTGCAGAAGCAGATGAGCTATCATCCCTGACTTCACATCTAACAAAGTAGGTGTATCTAATACAGTAACACACAATAAATGTACACAGTCATAAAATACAGCAACACTGCTGTGTCTGATCTGCCTGCTCAGTGATGGTCCTGGGGGGGGTCCCTGACCACTGCTGGAGGGGGTAAAGCAGGCTAATTATTCAGAGAAACAGGCTGACTATAGTCTATAACTATAACTGAGTGCACTTATATGGAAAATGGACTTGATAAAATGGACAATGAGTGTAGATACAATAGAGTAGATCCCTAATAAAGTGGTCTGTGAGTGTATATTGTTGGTATATATAAATTGTCCAACCAATTCTGCTGCATGAAATTGACCCACCCTTTCTCTGGCCACAAATCTGGTCTGTCGTAGCAGCTGTTTCAAGGCTGGACAATCTCCATTCAACCCAATGAGAAACTGTAGTGGACAGTAGTTTGTCCAGATTTCAAATTATAATAATTTTGCTTGGGACTATGAAGTTGAAAAGGCAACTGTGACAACCAGCCCTAAGGGGCTAATTATTTTAAATGTTATATAAGTTGATGCCCCACTTATCAAAATCACATTTCACAATCCATGACTTAGTTCAGTGCTGTTCATACACCTACAGAAGCTCACTTCATGAGGATACACATTTACGGCCCAATCCCATTTCA